GGGTGTATATCAGTATGTAGTGTCTCTACTTTAAAGAGTCCTCTCCTGCTGATGTTCAGGTGTATATCAGTATGTAGTGTCTCTACTTTAAAGAGTCCTCTCCTGCTGATGTTCAGGTGTATATCAGTATGTAGTGTCTCTACTTTAAAGAGTCCTCGCACAGATATGTTTCAGGTTTGGGATTTTTTAAATGTATTTCATTTTAGACCAAACAAGCATTCTTAATATGACAGCCTGTGTTTTTTTTGTCTTGTCCGACATTTGTAACTACATACAATCAATGAAGATAATCATCAACTTCAGCTTAATATATTTGATTCACTACCACATGAAAGCACAACATGTTCACCTGTGAGCATCGAAAATATTTCAGTATGATTGCTTAGAAACAATTGTTTAACTGATTAAAGGTGGGGTAGGTAATTTTGGAGAAACCAGCTCGAGTGCCCTATAATTTGAAAATACACAGCCAGGGAAAATTTGCCACTTACAGAGCCCCTCCTCCAACACACACGTGCACATGCACATGACCAATGAGGGCACGAGATAAGTTTGTGCACAGATGGAAGGCTGACAGGCAGGTAGGCCATCCAGTTACTTTAGCCGGGCCGGCTAAAATGATTGGTCGTGCTTTTTACAGCGCCACGGCTTCCACAGATGAATTTTTTTTATGGATTTGTTGTCAAAGCATTTAATATATTCATTCAAGAGCATTCCATGGAATATAACAAAAAGTGTATTTCGAGCCGGTTTCTCAAACTTACCTACCCCACCTTTAAGTGTTTATGAAAAGTGTTTTCCGACTATCTTTTTCAATTGATTCATGGACTAATTGTTCAGCTCTAATCAGTTGAAGTGTAATTGAAGTCTGATTATTGTTATTTTTGGAGGTGTAATCAGTCTCAGATCTGTGGCTATTTCTACATAACTCTACTAGAGCTGCAAAAATATGGATACATCAATTGGATATTCAACCAGCAGCTATTTTATGTCTGATTAGTTGTATTTAACCAATTATTTCCAATTGGAAAGCCAAATATTCCCCCAGTTCCAGCTTCTCAAAACCGAGGTTTTGCTGCTTTTTTCTTTCCTATGTCATAATAGACTTAATATTGTTGGGCTTTAGGCAGAACATCTCCCTTGGGCTCTGAAAAACGTTATTGCCCGGGTAGTGAGCATGAGCAGAATAGGAGTAATCCCAGGACAGAAAACCATCATTATAGACGGATTTAAACATATATAAAGAAGCAACTCAAATAGCCCCGCACTAACTAAAGAAATGCATGTAAGAAGACATCAAAGCCCATTGAAATCAGAGACTTAATGAGAAAAGAAACCAAATAAACTCACGGGCTTACGCTCTATCTCTCAATGGAAATTAAGAAAAGTTACTCGTTAGTTTACCCTGTGTCTAATTCCTTTCAAAGCCTACACTCTCATATCAACGATAGATGTTATACATCGACCGCAGTAATTGCACATGGGATAAAATGACCTTTTTCTTTGCCAGTGGTATTATGTACTGTTGCCCTGAGGGGAGCAAACCAAACTGAGCTATATCATTAATGATTTACAGGGTTTCTATTTATTACAGTCAAGAGCCCATGGCAGACAGAGACATTGAACACAAGGATGCTCTCTATCTGGCTGACATTCACTTTTATAAAACGTCAAGACTTACTGCAAGCCCCCTTCAGACTTGTTATTGGAAACACTCTGACTATCATACTGTACTTACATTAATACTTTTGTGCTGTCTCAATTTGAATACTTCCTTTAGTACAATGCTTACCAAGTGAATACACAACGCACATCACAAACTAAACGGCATAACAATTTAAACACTTATGCAGTTGCGTAAAATGTGGCCGTGTAGTAGTTTCTCAAACGGCCGCATATAAAATCAACCACGGTGTGTTTTTGACCCTAGTATAGTGAGTATGTTATCTAAATAGTGAACAAGATCCACAGGTATAACTTGTCTTTGTATACTGTTGTGTTCACCGGAGGAACCTTAACGGCTAATCTTCTAATTACATTAAAGGGGACCTATCATGCAAAATGCACTTTTGTACGTCTTTTATACATGAATATGTGTCCCCGGTGTTCCAGGGAACTCACCAAGTGTCAGAAAACACAACCCTCTCTATTTTCCTCCATACCCAAATCTCTTAAAAAGGGGCTGCAACGGATCTGATACAGACTGATCCAGATTTGAACACTTCTATGACGTCACAGAAGTGGGGCTACGGCTATTGGGCCAACTCCACCAATCAGGAGGAGACAGCCACGGATATTGCCGTTGGAAAGCACTTGAGACGCTGTAGTACATATGCCAGGCCTGTAGATGGTGCTGTTCTCACAGAATCAGCCCATGATGCAAAGACAGTGTTAAATTGAGCGAAATGAGGAATGGCTAAAATGCATGATCTGTTTGGTATTTTGAAAAATGAAAAGTATAAATATGCCTTATATAGGTATGGTCCTATTCTATATTATTCAAATATAGCATGATAGGTCCACTTTAAGTATCATTTTGAGGTACTGGTACTTTACCTGAGTGTTTTCATTTTACGCTACGAGTAAATAAACAGCTTGATTTACTTTACAGATTCATATTAATAGCTAAAACTAAATGTACTATTACTGTAAATAAACAGTGACAATTATACAATTATAGGTTTAACATTAAGATGTATGCTGGATATGATTCTGAGATTATACATAACAAATACTTTTGGTTCTTAAAGTTTTTTTTATGCAAACACTTTCTTTCATTTACTCAAGTCAGATTTTGATTGCAGGACTTTAACCTGTAACAGAGCATTTTTACGATTTGTTATTGCTACTCTTACTTCTGTCTGACAATGCATATAAACATTTGTGAGGTCAAAGTAACTGTAGCTGCAAAAGAGATGGTGAAATGTAGTAAATTCACTGTGAAATGTTGCAGTGTAAAGTAAGAACGAGTACCGCTGATAACCACAATCATTTCACTTCATTGTGATTATCAGGTAAAAGAACAGTGGTGGGCAAATGTGCAACTTTCAGAAGATAAGAACTCAGAGACCCCAACAAAGTACAGCTGCTGGCTATTTTTAACCAAACAACTCCTTTCCAATCAACTTATTCATACTGTAACTTCTCCTGCATCAAAGCATTGTTTTTTGCTTTTCTAATGCTAACTCAACATTATCTCTAATTGCTTCATATAACAGCACATATGTATTTATATTTGTAAATCTCTGTTACAATCCCTTCCTGTTTCCTCTTCACAATGCAGCTGAAATGCCACTCGGTCACGCTCTCAGTTCGTCCTCCGCAGCACCTGTTGTCACACTGACCTTGAACGCAGCAGTTGCAGTCCCGAAAGAGGAGGTGCAATAAAACCCCCACTTGTTTCCGATTATTTAGAAAAAAATCCAGATTTAAAATATCAAATTACAAAAACAAAAGCATCTAAGGAAAGTTTTTGCATCTGCTCAGGGTTTGTCTGCCCCTCTGACTCCCTGACAGGGAGCTGCCACTGGGTAAAAGTGACGTGATGTATTTATACTTTGACCACTGACACAGAGGGGGCGGAACAACACACTGAAGACACACATTAGGAGTCTATTAGGGATTCTTGACATGTTTTACCTTCCTCTAATACTTTAAAGTACTTCTGTAAAGGATGCACCAAAGAGTAAATCCACTTTCTGCACGATAGCTCTCTTATGTGCAGAATACTGTGTGATCCCAATTAGCATCATATTGTATCACAAAAGAGCATCAATTAGCATGAATATGTTGTTGTAGCGATGAGTAAGTGTGCATCCTTTGACAATTTCAAACTAAAAGTCCCCTCGTCTCGTTTCTCTCGCTGCTATTTTCCACCTCCTGGGTTCCAGGTCTGTTTTAGCCTGCTGCAATTTTGAGCCGAAGCCAAACGTCCATCCATCTCATATTCTACAATGGACTGTAACACAACTCTCAGTGGCGTCTAGTGACAGCAACATAACATACAATGCAGCGAGATGCACACAAAGCAACTCAAAAAGAAAAGAGACATGAAGTACAGTATATAGTTTATTAAATGTATACGAATGCGGCATACAGTATAAGCTTTTAAAGAAACGTAACTCCGCCTGGCTGTTTCCTACTTTCAAGGTATCAGTGCTGCTCAACATTTGGGAGTATATACTGTATGTCTGAGCAGAACTATAACTGCAACTCCCAAAGAGAGAAAACACATGGTTCCTATAGGTATAAAATATAAAATGCATAAGCTTTGGTAATGTGTGAAATCTTCTGTTGAGTCCCCGTCTGGCTACTCCTTCTTGCTGCTGGTCTCTTGTCCTTCAAAGATGGGGAACTTTTTCTCCACCTCGACCCAAGTCAAGGTGCCGTTAGACAGATCTCGAACCATCGCTGGCAACTCAGCGACCTGTAATAGGGTTGTGTATATTAGAAACGAAACAGCTGAATGTGATACTGAACACAGCTGTGGTTATTGTTGCAGTACCTCGGCCCTGATCTGCCTCATGGAGTCTCGGTCTCTCAGCGTGGCAGTTTGAGGGGTCTTGTTCACCGTGTCGAAGTCGATGGTGATGCCGAACGCCACCCCGATCTCGTCTGAGCGGGCGTAGCGTCTCCCGATGGATCCTGAAGAGTCGTCCACTTTGTAGGACACGTTGTTTTTAGTCATCGCGTCGGCTTAAAGGAGAGAGAAGAAGCAGAAATTAACTATCAGTTTGAGGGGATGATCAAGCCGAACATGTTGAAACGGTAACATTTGGGTTGGATGAGAAAATTGACACCACTCAATCAAACCAAACAATTGTTAAATACTAAGCTATAGCCTGCTAGCTGCTAGTTAAAGGTGACCTATCATGCAAAATGCACTTTTGTACGTCTTGTATACATGAATATGTGTCCCCGGTGTTCCAGGGAACTCACCAAGTCTCAGAAAACACAACCCTCTCTATTTTCCTGCATACCCAAATCTCTTAAAAAGGGGCTGCAACGAATCTGATACAGACTGATCCAGATTTGAACACTTCTATGACGTCACAGAAGTTGTGCTACGGCTATTGGGCCAACTCCACCAATCAGGAGGAGACAGCCACGGACATTGCCGTTCGAAAGCGCTGGAGACGCTGTAGTACATATTTCAGGCCACCAGATGGCGCTGTTCTCACTGAATCCGAGTGTGAAAGGCAGTGTTAAATTGAGCGAAATGAGGAATGGCTAAAATGCATGATCTGTTTTGTATTTTGAAAAATGAAAAGTATAAATATTCCTTATATAGGTATGGTCCTACACTATATTATTCAAATATAGCATGATAGGTCCACTTTAAGTTAGGATTTGATATAAAGTTACTGTCTGAAAAATGAACCCAACTCTAACATTTTAATAAGTGAGCTTTAAAGTTGATGGTGGGTAGGTAGACTCGGTTAGCCGTTCCCCTACTTCCTGTCTTTATGGAAAGATACG